ACTTCTTTTGGTTACGGCTGCATACATATGTATATGTTACTTACTAAGAAAAAAATTCCAGTTTTTTTGGCACATTTAGAAAAAAAAACAGATAAATTCCAGACAGAAGAAATAAAATCGATGTCTTCCATAGGTATTGCTTCTAATCTTTACACTAAAATTTCCAGACAAATTGACAGCATCATGAAAAAAATTCCAGTATATTTAAGTTTTATATTGCGTTTAAAATCTGGAATTCCAGAAAATTTTGGTAATGGTGAAAAATATTTCCATGGATTTTTTTTTTTACATCTTATGTCTTCCATAGGGGGGGGACAGAATATTTCTGGAATAGCCCATTGATGTAGAAATCTCGAAGCGGCACTTCCCGCTGAAGCTTTCTGCAAGATCTCGTGATTTCTCGTAGCACGCGGTATTTCTCGGATGCTATCAAGGCGGTATAGGGACTTTCCTATCCTTCTAATATACGTCCTTGCCTTTTTTTGCTAAAAAACATAAAATAATTGTGAAATGCACTAATGTAATGGTTCCTGACTTGGAGCATGTATATTTTATAGTTAAAGTGTCAGGGTTTGACATTTTCTATGCCGAATTCCAAATTCTAGGGTATAAGGGGTTACTTTACATTTCAATAGTCCTAGGCTAGGATTTTTTGAACGGGAGGCGAAATTACGGTTGCCTTGGTAGAGGGTCCATGGAGAAGCTCAGAAGCTCCTAGATTTCAACAATTAAGCATCAAATTATGAAGTAGCCAGACTGATAAATATCTCTCTATTTTAGATTAAGTTCTGGTTTCTTTGATCGACACACATGCTACAAGACAAACAAATACTGAAGTATAAAGTTCTTTCGTTCTAAATATTGTAGGCTTTAATGTGGAATACATGATTGAATATAAAAAATGGACATAATTGTACTACATTACTAAATTAAAGCAATCATGTCACTGTCTAGTTCCGATAGGTGGTATATGGTACATAAATAAATATGGTGCTTGAACTTCATGGCAAAATGTAGGTCAGTGTCACTTAGTTACTCACTAATAGATATTAAAACAATATGATACTACCAAAGGCTATCCAGATGGGAAGTAAAAGAGCTATACCAAATATACATGTTACTAGTATAAATGTACCTTAACGCAAAACCTAAAATGAACACAGAAATACTGACGGACTCTCATTTTCAATGAATGGTTAAGACTAGAGTGGATTCATTAGAACCATTTTCATCGAATGTCTAAAATAATCCAGAAATTCATACATTTTTTTCTTTTTCAATAGAATTTTGCAAAAAAAAAGTATTTTATTAAACAGAAAAAAACTCATCATATAAGTTTAAATAATCTTTTTTTTTATTTTTATTTTCTGAAGAAAAATAATATTATTTGAAAATAAAAATTCTTTGTGAAACAATAAAGCTTATTACACTTTTACAGAAGATATAGTTAGGAAGTACATATATTGTATATAGTTGTAAATATTTATTTGTGTTCTTTTTTTTAATTATTATTATTGGTTTTGGTAATGCAGTCTTGGTATACCAAGACAGTCACAAGTCTTTTTAATGCAGAGTGTCCATACGGTAATATAATTTCATTATCATTTAATGATTAATTATGTAATGGGCATGTGTCAGTAAACAACAATCTAATTAACAATACATTGTATAATAGAATTGTAAGAAATTAAATATTTTGATTATTGGGAACTTTGCATTATCACAATTAAATTATCTAATTGGCACAAAATGTTTCATTATATTTCCTTATTAAATTAAAATGGATGAACATAGCAATAAAAGAAAATTAAACGTCAATACTAAGAATATAAATTTTTTTCCTTTACTTTTATTTCTGAATTTTGAGTAAATTAAGTAAATTGAATATATATTGCCAAGGAAAATGTAATAAGAAATAAGTTAAATATAATCGAATTAGTGAAATTAATGTCTACATTAAAATTAAATATGTACAATTTCACATTTGTTCTTTATTTATTTCATATACCTTCTAATAAATATCATGTTAAAAATATACTTTATAAAATTACTTTCCTTTCTAGAGCCTTGGCTATGTCGTACTTGTTGTCTGAAAAGCAGCATTCCTTACATAGGAACTTAAGAGACGCATCTGACAACTTTTCAAAACCTTCCTGAAAAACAATTATTGGACAATACTCTGTATATAAAGTACATTATTTAATACTTTATTTTCATAGCATTTCCCTTTGAATGCATATGCAATCATTCTTTTATTCTTCCCATTGTGTTTTCCTTGGTCGCCATGTTGGATGTACACACTATATTTTAATGATCTTTATGAACTTACCTGCTTTCTGTAAATCATTTTTGTCGAGCCTTCGACTTTTGTCGAAAAAGCGAGACATAGCGATCCTACATTCCGTCGGCGGCGTCCACAAATATTCACTCTGTGGTTAAAGTTTTTGAAATTTTAATAACTTTCTTAAACTATCCTGGATTTCTACCAAACTTGGAAAGAAGCTTGTTTATGATCATAAGATAGCATCCAGAAGTAAATTTTGTAAAAAAAAAATTCATTTTTTCCGTATTTTACTTATAAATGGACTTAGTTTTTCTGCCAGGAAACATTACATTCACTCTGTGGTTAAAGTTTTAAAAATTTTAATAACTTTCTTAAACTATCCTGGATTTGTACCAAACTTGGAAAGAAGCTTGTTTATGATCATAAGATAGTATCCAGAAGTAAATTTTGTAAAAAAAAAAATCCTTTTTTTCCGTATTTTACTTATAAATGGACTTAGTTTTTCTGCCAGTTAACATTACATTCACTCTGTGGTTAAAGTTTTTAAAATTTTAACAACTTTCTTAAACTATCCTGGATTTCTACCAAACTTGGACAGAAGCTTGTTTATGATTAAAAGCTTATATCTAGAAGGAAATTTTGTTAAAATTTTGTTCCATTTTTTCAGTATTTTACTTATAAATGGACTTAGTTTTCTTCCAGTTAGCATTACATACAGTCTGCAGTTTAAGTTTTTAAAACATTTATTAGATTCATAAAGTATCCTGGATTTTTACCAAACTTGGACAGAAGCTACTTACAATCAAAAGATAGTATAGAGAGGAATATTTTTATTAATTTTTTTCCTCATTTTTGTTGAGCCTGCGATTAACAGCAATAGTAGGCGAGACACTGGGTTCCGCGGAACCCTTACGAATTTTTAATTTATAAAATACACTTATAATATAATATTATTTAAAAATCAATGCTTAAATGTCACCAATATGTGCTAATATTAAAATGTCAAGTGTTATTCGGTCATTACAAGTGTTATTTGGATAATAACGGTGTTATTTGGTCATTCAAGGTACTGTCCATTTGATGAGTATCCACAACCTGTTAATTCGTCTGTGCTTTTACCCTCAAGTCTTGTAATTTTGTTAGTTTATTAAGTCCTTTCATTTTGTTGATATTACATTAAGAAATGGATTTACTGGACTAATAAATTCACTGGTCAGTGTTGTAGATGCAAGTCTTCTAATCTAATGCCAGTAACATAAGCTCTGCAGTTAAGGTTTTCAGTTTAAAAGGACATATACAAAGACAATACCTGTTAAATTTTTCAGTTTTAAAAGGACACATACAAAGACAATACCATAATAAGAGTCAGGTGCTACCCAATGAGCCCCTGAAGGTTACTTGACATTTATCAGATATATAAATTTGCAGGGAATCATATGTTCCTTAGGTACAATACACCTTATCACTATTTGTCTACCATTACTGGACATCACAAAGGTTCCCGTAAATTTTTGACATCACAATAGAAAGTATCTGACGCCACAATGGAAAAGTGATTGTTGTATGACATCAATAGTTTAAGTGGCGCAGATTTCCAAATAGCGATAAGGTCTATTTAACGGTACCATCATGATAATATATGCTCCTATATGATATTTAACCAAAAATCAAGAAAAGAAACAAAAAACCAGAAAGAAGTTTTCTGCCATGTTCATTGCAGCTTTTAGTCTTTTAGTGAGACTTAGATGTTCAGTTTTATAAGCATTGGCATTTCTCATTTCAAAAGAGATTATTTGACTTTGATTGATTTGCATAGTTTACATGTTTAAATAATGCCATTTCAATTTCAACATTTGCATTATACTATCAAAATTACAAAACGTCTGAGACATACATGTTTCTGTGTCAACAGTTTATTTACCATATAGTTGTACCCACTGTTGTCAAAAATCAACACTTTTTCAATGTATGCTTCCTTCAGGAGCATATGAACCAATCTTATATATATTGAATGCATAAAATTGTTTCACCTTTTTTCATGCCATGTCCTTTTATAGCTTACTATACAGTATGGGTTTTGCTAATTGTTGAAGGATATACTATGGTGTAGTTGTTTACATCCTGGTCTTAATTGGTCTAGAGCACTCAGCAAAGAATTGGTAATTGCAGTATAATCTTCATAAACCTTGAAAACCCAGCACAGATTTTTTTCTGTTGAAATAACGACCCAAAAGAACAAATTAAAATTGTCTCCTACTGCTTGGTTAATTTAACTGATGTTTCTTATTTTACATCACTTTTGTTTACCATGTTTACACATATAATCATATACATATTGGCGTACATGTATAACTTAACAGTTTTAGTTAACAGTACTGCAAATACTAAATATTTTCTGGAAGTCAACCTGGGCTACCACCTAGTAATTTTCAGTAGCCAAGACTGTATATCTGGGTCTATTGGCAAATGGGTTAAAATTACTGCTAATTTGGATCCCTGTATTAAATATATATGTTAAAACGTTACATTTGAGATCAGTTTTGCAAGGTGATGACTACTAGTTGTTATGCCTTTATTCAAGTATTGAAAAACAGGTGACATAGATCTATTATCATAGAGGGTGTTTCTAATTGACATTTCATTTTAATAGCATTCATAATAGAATTTTTAATAAACAATGATGAATAATATACTCATATCTATCTGTTTTTTGTAGCACATAAAACATGTCTGCGGAGGAAGCATATGCTGATCAAGCAAAAAAGTTGGTTGATGATGTAATAGAGTCTGCTATTAAACGACTAGAAACTGGAATAGCTCTTACAGAAAGAGAAAAGACATTTGAATCAATTATACAGCAATCTGAAACAAGTCCAGAAAATACATTTGTGAGGGATGAAAATTTTGTTGTAGAAAATATTAAATGGCTCACTATAGGAGATTATTCTGTTTCAAAAGCAGAAGAAAAAATGCATGAATATATAAAGGTACATGTAAACAAATGTTTAAGTTAGCTGTTTGGCGTGTAATTATTTCCTCTATTTAATAAAAATTTTTAATTGAAATTGTGATTTGAATCGGTTTCCAATCCAACGTTTTGCTTTGAAACTTAGTCTAACATTGAACGAAAAATAGGTTCACTAATGTATGAGTATGACCAGTAAAATTTGATTGATATATACTGATACCAAAAATGACAAAAATGTATTTGATCACTTAATAAAAAATACTTCAATAGGTGAAAGTTAAGTTTTTTTTTAATTAATTGAGAGTTCAGTATGACCATAGTATGGTTTATATTCAATTCCAGAAGGTTTATTACTTATTTAAATTTCCCTCATGTTTGTTTGATTAATATAGATGATAAGTACATGAATCACTGTATTTATAAAAAAAAAAGCAGTTAACTTTTCTCCATCTATCCATTCCTAAACAAGACATTTATAAGTTACTGTAAATTCAGAAATTATTGCGAGGTTTTTATTAATGCGACTGGGTGACTATCGCAAAAATAAGAACTCGCATTCTGATGTCTGCAACATATATCTGTATGCAGATTTTTATGATATCGCAATAATTAATCTCGCATTTTTGTCCATTCTTCAAAAATCGCAATAATAAATGCACGCAATAATATCTGAATTTACAGTAATTAGATCATGAAAATGAAGGATATTTGACTAATTATTAGTCTACAATGCAGTTTACCTAGATTTAAACTTTCATTTTGATATACATGTATTGCATTCTTGTTTTTTTTTATTTCTTAGACATGGCAGTATGATGTCAGCTGGTTATATTGTATAGACTTTCTGGGAGCAGAAGAATATGATTTTGATTCAAGATACAGATTCAGAGTACGATGGAGCATACCAACAAGAAGAAAACCAATACCAAGAGCAACAGCTTCAGTTTATTTTTCATTTGTAGTATCAAAAATTAAACCTAAGGTAAAATAGCTATCCATATCTTAATTTCAAAATAGAAATTTTATTAAAAGGGAGATAATTTAATGAATTGACCAAAAAAAATGCAACTATCTATTAAAAATATATTCTCTTTTTTTTTAATTCTGAAAAACAGATAATTGTTTTTGTCATATTAAAAATCAGATTCAGTAATTGCAAATTAACAAACACCATTTCAGTGTATGTCTGTCAGAATTTTAGCCAATTTGGCCTGATATTACTTTTCCGAACAGCAAACAATTAAAAAAAAAAATGAATTCAGTGTAAAAGATTTTAGCATTATGATAATAACATTGGAATAAAATTGGAATAAAATAAAAAATTGATTATTGTATGTTTTTTATTTATTTTCTTGCCTGACTGTTTAAGAGAGAATTTATTTGCTTTCATTTAAAAATTATCTTCCTTTTTTCAGCATTACCCAGTTGATACATACTATGTTTACGAGACACACAAGTTAGTTCACAAGTAAGTGTATATTATAATAAAGCCTAAGAGTACCTCAATCAGGATAAGTCATGCTTCTTTGTATAAAATGTGAAATGATTGAAAAAAAAGGGAATCCATTGCCTTGAAAATATATTCATTTTCAACTGTTATAAAACTAACAAAATAGACTTTAAAATGTGGTCTTTATACAATTTGCAACTTGTTGATTTTTATCCTTGAAAATAAATTGACCTTTTATTTTCTTGATTTTTAGAATATCTAAAAATAATAATGATAAACTTGACATTTCAGACCAGGACAGTCACGATTTAGAGAAAAATGGTTAAAGGATATTATAGAAAACAAAGTGATGATGATGCAGATGGTGGAGTTCTAATTCATTCCAGTCATGAGAAGTGTCAGTTCTCAAGATGATTTAAACATGAGATCAGATAAATAAATGTAATGAACAACAAAACTAATGTCTGTGATAAAATGTATCAAATTTTTTTATCTATAAATAATTCATGTCAAAAAATATTTTTGGATGTTATTTTTCTGTATTTTACTTTAGCTATTCTTTAATGTCTGTATGTAAGAAGGATATTTTTTTTTAAAGCAGAGGGTTTTATTAAAAAAAAACCAATATCACTCAATCATGAAGGAAGATATATTTGTTGTATTTATTGATATTTTACTTATTAAATTATTTTAAAAACAATGTAAACATCAACGACGTCATAGGCAGATTATCAATGAGAAAGTTTTGCTGAAGATCCTTAATTTATTATATACTGAGATTGTATAGAAATTCTTAATATTAGGATCTCAAAATAACAAAGCTCTGAAAATTGCCAGAAATGATCTGTATGCATTTCTCAGTAATCCACAAAATATTGTCATAATTGGTCAATTTCCAATGAACATCTGTTAGTTTTGATTTTTATTGAATGGAAACTAGATGGAAGTGTTGTGTTTCTATTATAAGAAAAATATCAATCTCTGTAGTATCAAAAGGTGTTTAAAAGAAGATATTTGCAGTTATTTTGTCTATACTTTTCTCAGTATGTATATTTTCTAATATTGTGGACAGAAATGTTTTCTGTATGTAGACTTTGCACCATTTGTGGTATCCTTTATTTCAATTTCAATGAGATATATCATTTTAGTCATCAAATTTTTGATTATTGAGTGAGAGGACATCATCTGCATAGTAGAACATGAAGTTTAAGGTTAATGCTTGTTTCTTTTTATTCTTCTTGAGAAGCCCTGAAAGACTGCCTTATATGAATAAAGAAAAAAGTCTTGAGAAGAGGAGCACATCTTGTTCTTATTAGAATACTGATTATCTGTCGAAAAACATGTCCCAGAAACAGAACACATTTGAGGATAATAAAAAAATCAATCTTGATAATATCAGTGTCAGAGAAATTTTGTTTGAAATGTTGTGTTTTTCCTAAAAAAAGATAATTGAATCAGAGTTGGTCTGCAACATTTTTTCAAGGAAGCTAGTCATAACAATCCTTCGTGTTTTTCGGTGCCTTCAACATATAGGTTCAATCTGTGGTTAAAGTTTTTTTTAGACATTCATAACTTTGTCAACAAAACTTCATAGAATTTTACAAAAATTGGACAGAAGCTTTTTTATGATCAATATCCAGAGCAAAATTTTCATTTTTTTTTTCTTCATTTTTCCATATTTTACTGATAAATGAATGGACTCAGTTTTTTTTTTATTTTGCAGTTTTTTTTTTATTTTGCAGCTAACATTAATAGTCTTAGTTTAAAGTATTTCAGACATCAATAACTTTGTCAAACATTCAAGGAACTTTTAGAAACTTGCATATAGGATCATAAGACAGTAGTATCCAGAGCAAAGTTTAGCAAATATTTTAATTGATTTACTGATAAAAGAACTTAGTTTTTTTGCACTTAACATTTGAATAGTCTGTGGTTAAAGAATTGTAAATCATAAACAGCTTTTTCAAACCTTCAGATATATATTTTTTTAATCTTTGCAAGAAGGTTTTTTTTTTTATGATTAAGAGATAATGTTTGAAGCAAAATGTTCAAATATTTTTTTTTTTTCATTTTTTACTGATAACTATAGATTGTGGATGGTTTTTCAAATGAGAGGGTGTTTCCTCAGCTACTAACTCCTTAGATGTGACAGAGAAACATCCTCCAGTTTGATAGACCATTGACAATCTGTTGATCTCTATTCTGCCTATGACGTCGTTGATGTTTACATTGACAACAGCACGTGAGCCCTTATTTTCTGACAATAATTTTTTATCTCAAGGGAGTAGCATGATAAGAAAAATTCTCACAAAAAAAGATCAAAGAGAAAATACACAAAATAGCAATAAATGGAATTTTTTATACATCTATAACTTTGTCAAAGCTTCGTGGGATGTTATGAAATGTGGACAAGCTTCTTCAAAATCTAGAAACAACATCTGAAAAAATTTCAGATTACAAAATAATTCAATTTTTACTGATTATTGGATTTTTATTTAGTCAGCATTATGCTGACAACAGAAATAGCAGATGAGACATGTGGTTCCACAGAACCCTTTACAAACTACTTATAAAAAAAAATTGAACAAATTCTTTCAATCGGTTAATATGTTAAGCTTCAATTGAGCTATACTTGTATCATCTTCGCTAGCCAAGGGTTACAATCCTCTCTCTGGATCGTAATCCTTGGCAAGCGAAGATGTACTTGTATGGGTAGATGTCAAATGTTTTTTTTTTTTTATGTTGCATGAGGAGAGGTTTCAAGTAATCTTACAAATCTTTTGAATATATTTAGTATCCACATCTGATTTGTACTGACCCTAGAATACATAGCTTAACAGATACTATGAAGTCCACCTTTGATGGCTGATAGATTTTAGTAATTTAAAAAAACATTCGAGCAATTCATTTGTTTGCAAGAACACATGTTTTTTTGGCATCTAGTAGAGTTAAGGAAAATCAATGCATTTCTTTTATGTTGTTGAGTGTTGTAGCATGACTGTATATTTTGCAAATAGAAAACAAAATAATTTCCTGAAAACTACTCAACCAAATTTGACAGAAAGGTTAATTTTAGAGGTATTCCCGTAACAGTGTGGACAACCGTAGTACATTTGTTGTTAATACTACTGAATCATTTACCTTTAACTTGTTTGTTGTCGGCTATCTATAACAATGATTTTACACTCACACAGTCTGACAGAGGCCCTTCAGTGGGGATTTAGATAACCACTTGTTACACATTTCAATACATAAAATGAAATTGTTGATCAAAACATAAAAAACGCAAGTAAAGAACGTTTAAGTATTCAATATTAATCAAAACACAAAGGTTATTCCTGTAATAGTTTTTGGAATTATTTGAGTCAGGAGTTGAGAACCTTTGGTGACCTTACAGTTTAAATTTCTATAATAAATTTGACGTGATAAGTGGGCGTTACAGAAGAACGTTCACCTAATTTAACCTGGTCAATTGGAGACTTGAGCGCGCCAAAAAATGGTCTCGTCCACACTGTTATGAAAACAATACTATGTGCACCTTCTGGTCCTTCATCATTTGATATGGATTTTGGTTCTATATGAAATTCAATAAAATCACCACTGTAATATATATATTCTTATCAACTAGAGTCGAGTAATTGTCCTATAATGTACAGGATAGATAAAGACAACATTATATTGCCCCGTAACATTACCATAAAGTCAGCCTTAGACCTTGAAAATCTAGATTTTTTTCTCCCTTTATTGTCGAGCCTACGACTTTTGTCGAATAAGCGAGACATAGCGATCCTACATTCCATTGTCGTTGTCGGCAGCGTCCACAAATATTTACTCTGTGGTTAAAGTTTTTGAAATTTTAATAACTTTCTTAAATCATCCTGGATTTCTACCAAACTTGGACAGAACCTTGTTTATGATCATAAGATAATCTTCAAAAGTAAATTTTGTAAAAAAAAAATTCCATTTTTTCCGTATTTTACTTATAAATGGACTTAGTTTTTTCTGCCAGGAAACATTACATTCACTCTGTGGTTAAAGTTTTTGAAATTTTAATAACTTTCTTCAACTATCCTGGATTTGTACCAAACTTGGAAAGAAGCTTGTTTATGATCATAAGATAGTATCCAGAAGTAAATTTTGTAAAAAAAAAATTACATTTTTTTGTATTTTACTTATAAATGGACTTAGTTTTTCTGCCAGTTAACATTACATTCACTCTGTGGTTTAAGTTTTTGAAATTTTAACAACTTTCTTAAACTATCCTGGATTTCTACCAAACTTGGAAAGAAGCTTGTTTATGATCATAAGATAGTATCCAGAAGTAAATTTTGTAAAAAAAAAATTACATTTTTTTGTATTTTACTTATAAATGGACTTAGTTTTTCTGCCAGTTAACATTACATTCACTCTGTGGTTAAAGTTTTTAAAATTTTAACAACTTTCTTAAACTATCTTGGATTTGTACCAAACTTGGAAAGAAGCTTGTTTATGATCATAAGATAGTATTCAGAAGGAAATTTTGTTAAAATTTTGTTCCATTTTTTCTGTATTTTACTTATAAATGGACTTAGTTTTTCTTCCAGTTAACATTACATACAGTCTGCAGTTTAAGTTTTTAAAACATTTATTAGATTCATAAACTATCCTGGATTTTTACCAAACTTGGACAGAAGCTACTTACAATCAAAAGATAGTATAGAGAGGAATATTTTTATTAATTTTTTTCCTCATTTTTGTTGAGCCTGTGATTAACAGCAAGAGTAGGCCAGACACTGGGTTCCGTGGAACCCTTACAAATTTTTGATAAGGTGCACCAATGTTTATTTTTTATCACTTGACCAGATTAATCTGTATCATTTTTATAAGGTGATGAATTCCCAACTAGGGGTAAGACAGATAATCTCCATAGATGAAAAGTATTGTTTTTGTATCCTAACAGTTTCTTGTGATGTGTTTTTTAAATTTTAAAATTCCTGATGTACCTAGTACCACTCAATGAATTTCTTTGGCGGTAGAAAATTTGAAATATTGAATTTTCTGCTTTGCAGTTGACAGATGACCTGACTTTGGCTATAATGTTATAAATTCCTACAAATCAAATCTGAGTACCTTTCCAGTTGATTAATTTTTATTAGGGATGTCAACTCGGTGAAGATTTACTAATTGAGTACTCGTTGGATTTACCGAGCGATACTAGAGTACTCGCTTGGAAAAACATATTCTAAATGGAAACACAAAATTAAACCCAATTTATGGATTGTGGGGAGTTGTTTTATGGACGTAAAACCCTCAACATCAATACCTTGGACTAGATAATAGTCCCAGGAATTTTATACCATAATTAATAGCTCATTTACTACATGTACTGGCAATAATCTAATCAATTAATTAATAAATATCTATAGAAAATTGATTACTAAAACAACAGTATTTGGGAATCGTAAAGAAACACATTTATGATCAACAAAGCGGTGATGATTAGGACTTTAACCATTATCTGAGGGTCAACACAGGGTGCAACAAATTTGTTCTTATTTAGTATTATCTTGTCAACTTTTTCTGGGACAATTCAATTTTTTTACCACCTTGTTTACGTAACTAACTGATGAAAATATTTGCTCCGGCGGTACAGAGGTCACCTCGGTAGAATGACTAGGACACGATTTGCTTAAAGTGCAGGCCTTGGAAAGGTGCTCTTGTTCATAGCGCATTAAACGCAAGCATTCGAGCATATTATTATTTTGATTGATATTTAATCTCGAGGGAGGCTCTCTTAATAAATAAAAAAAATCTTTATGAAGGCAACAACATTCTAACCAAAAAAATAAAGACGATTAGTCGAGTATCATTTTGGTATTCGATACTCGGTACTACCGAGCGATACTCAAGTACTCATTGACATCCCTAATTTTTATAGTTATGTTATTTGTACTAAAAAAAATCAAGAGTCAAGTTTTCTTATAAGGATTTAACAGAAATACTATGCTGATTTTTTTTGTATGTACTGATCTTAATATAAATTACAGATCAACTTTGAGTTTCTTCCTAGTTGATAATTTTTTATTTTATCACTTGGACTTGTAAAATTTTGAAAGTTTATGATTTTTTTTCCCCAATTTTCAATTTGTATAAATACCAGCCCATTTATTTTTCTTAATCAACATGCTGTATGAATTTTAGAAAAAATTAAGAGTTTTGTTATGGTTGATGAATTTCACACAGAATCAATATAAAAACAATATGTGGTATGATTGCCAATGCCACAACCAGAGACCTAAGGATGAGGATGAAACAACATTAGGGCACTGGATTACCTTCAGATCTGAGAAAAACCAATTTCGTATTATAAGCTATAAATAACCCTGACATGACAAATTGTGAAACAATTCAAAAGAAAGCCAGCAGCCTAATTTAAGCCCATTAGAGTTATAAACAAAAATGATGCCATGTCCTGTCATGCACTCGTAATTCAAAGTATCGGATAACAGGGCGTTGGTGTCTGACAGGCCTAGAAAAGGCTCACACATTACAACTCATTAATGATAACATGCTGACTAAATATGAAATCATCCTGTTTAGCCATACTTGAGATAACTGTGTAGCCAAATTTTAAGTTCATTCAACATATAATTTTTTTTATATGAAATAAGGAGTTGTGGTTTGATTGTCACTATGACCAACTATCTACCAAAGATCAAATGATGTAGATGTTAGCAACTATACAGCCTTCAAGAATTACAGGCTTCTGTTTTGAGACGGACACAAAAACAATGTGGCAGGGTCAAACATGTTTATGGATGCCTTCCTTAACCTGGGACTGTGTTGTAACAGCACAACATAAGAACAATCATCAGATCCATACAAAACACAAAAAACAACTCACAAAAACAATAAAGACACAGAGTACCAATCTAAGAATACTCGCAGTTACTGAAAGCTAGTTCCAAGCCAATAAAAACTAATAAATAAAAGAAGAGAGTTTCAATGTCCCCCGTGTTGCACATATTTTATCTATCCAAGGGCAAAAAATGAAAAAAAAATAGAACTTTTCACAAATATCTTAGAGAAATGCAGGCTTTCAGATAGCATATACAATGAATTTTCCATTTAATTAATATTTCCAAGGGGCATAACTCTTTTAAAAATATTTGATCTGCACTGATTTTCGAACTGGTCCAAGTCATTGCTGATATATATTTGATAAAAATCTTGAAAGAATTGTACACAAGAGTGCTAACAAGATGTCCTCTGCAATGTGTCATGCTGGGGACAAAATAACATGTATCCAAGACAAAATAACATGTATCCAAGACAAAATATCAATCAGTACACATCCCATGGAAAAATACAAAGTATTTGCATACAAAATGTAGATTCTGGACATATCCAAAGAGTACTCACATATTACAACTAATCACTGTTATGCTGTTGATTAAATATAAAGTCATTCTGTTTAGTATTACCAGAGAAAGGTGTGACAAAAATGCTTGTTCTACGAACAGACAGACTAGGTGAATGCAATATATAGCTCCCACTTTTAGAGTGGGTATAATATCAAGCAAGAAATCAATGATATTCTGCAAACTCTTTTATAGATAGTTCTCCATTAGTTACTTCTATGTAGTCATCTTTTAAAGGCAAAATTGCAGAGAGTGTTTGCTCCTGTTGACTAAATTTTAGGATGTTTTTGCCCTTTGAGCTTCAAACAAAGTTCATGAAAATTATTTTTTCCTTCCCTTGTTGATGCTAGTGAATATAATGACCTGGTTTTTTTTTTATTTAGAATATAATATATTCTGACATGTATTTAAATAAGAAGCTACAGATCAAATACAAGTTTCTTTCCTGTCCATCAATTTTTCACAAAAAATGGGTCCTGATGTAACTCAGATGTACTTTCAGAATGCTTGTTACAAAGGATGGATACACATATCCTTTGTTTTTCTATTTATTTTTTTGTTGTACAAATACCAGGCATTCACCGTCAATATGACTGTCTGTCTGGTCTTGTAAATACTTTGTACTTTGACCTATAATTGTTTACTTTTTACACATTGTGACTTGGATGGATAGTAGTCTCATTGGCACTCAGACCACATCTTCTTATTTATACTTTGACAGGTACGATTTTTGCTAGATTAATATCAGCAAATTCATGGACGAGCTTGAAAATCAGTGCTCGTCAATTATTTTTAACAGAACTTATATATAATGTCCTTTTTAAATGTAATTGCTTTGTAAGCACTCTCACACCTGATCTTTTTCAGATTTTTGTGCAATTTATTATATAAATTTTAAGGAAAATTATTGAATTTTAAGCAATCTCATGCCTACATTTTTTAAAAGATAATTAAAATGTTAAAAAGAACCAAACAAAATTATATCAGAGTTATTACCCTTTGACAGATAAAATTTATGCATCACCAGGGATATTAGAACACTATTCTTTTATTTACATTAGTATTTCATTCAACCCATGATCCCATGACTAATACAAAAGATGAATTATCTTGTTGCTTGATTTGAACTGACATTATGCAAGGTTATTTTTTAAAGATAAATACCAAATTTACTCTATCAAAATGGCAATGAAAAATACAAAAAATGAGGAAAATACATGTAGAAAATGTGTTTTTATTAAAATTTATAAAGACAAACATGAAAGAATAAAACACAGATATGGATTGATAAACATAGGCTACAGCATTGCATACCAGCTGAATGTTTTTAATTTTATACTTTATTCATTCCATGTCTTTGTAGTACTTCCCAATATATATGATTACACATGAAAAATAAATATTCTGAAAGACGAAAGTTCATAATAATATACATAGGAAAGATTACAAAAATTTCTTATTTTATGTTCTATTTCTTCATAATCAAAATTCCAAATATGAGTTGTGAACAAAGCTTAATGGTTTCAAACAATATGTTCATCTGTATTGGCAGTATTCTACACCCTCGAGTTGTTACAGGTATTAAAACATCATACAGTTGACAATATCACGATACATATTACTGAGTATCGGACATGTCGTACAATGAAGATAGACACAAATAATCTGTTATAACTGGAGAATGATATGTATAATTATAAATATGTCATTATATTTTGTAAAAAATTACTGAGTTAATACTTATTTCCACAATATAAATTTATTTTTATTTTTGCACAAAGATAATTTGAAGAGAAAAATGTACTCACAAAAAAATCTTTCTTTTATGGCTAGGGTTAGTTTATCACAATTGCGAGTCAATGACATACTATAATATATTAACAATATTCAATCAAATATATTTAGAATAAAAAAGGTATAAAAAAGTCAAAATTTCATATTTTTTTCATATTTCCCAAAGACAATGTCAGAGTCTAAATATTATTTTATTTTTTTATGTATAAGTGTTTAAAAAGTATAACTATTGTCAAATTCTACAAATTCTGAAACCTGTGATAATATTATATACTTTTTGTTTAAAACTTTGTTCAACCTATCATTTTCCATAGGAAACTGCATGTACTATAAAGTCATGAATATATCAAGTCATTTTCACTTAATGTATCTTTAAACATTTTCCTGTTTTTGACAATTATTTTGTACTTTTGATATTTGGTACATGTTAAACTTTTTGAGTTAATTCATTTTTTTTTACTATGCATGAACAAATAAAGACAGTATATTAACGCCCTAAGCTTGTGTATAAAATCTTGCTTATAATTTAAGATATATAATATATTATCTATCATAATAAAATAGTGTAAAAATAACATAAGACAAATAGAAATACCTTTTTTGCTTAAAATTAAGCAGTTTGATTTACAATAAACTAACAAATTAATAAACTAAAGCATCAATAAATATGAGCAAAGATGACAACAATATCACAGCACAAAAATAATACTAATTTAGTATACAACATAAAGTTCAGATAAATACAAATACAAACTTTAAACAGATGGTAAAAAAGTTAGTTACTTTGGTCATTTTCATTTTAATAGCAATCTACCTTCCAAACACCAAGACCACATTTTAATACTTTGGTAAAAAGCAAAAACAAAATCAGAAAATCTGCTTCTTAGGCACTTTTCAAATTGTTCCAATAAAGCATTGATTTTATCTTTGGTATAAAGATCAAAATTGATCACTAACATGAAATTTTGGATATTGTAATAGAGATTTTTGAGACAATGATTGTTGAAAATATCTTTTGTAGAGAATTAAAACAATTAAAAAAAAATATTTAAACTACGTTTATTTAATATAAACTTGATTAAAACAGTTAGTCACTTGTATAAATTTATCATGATACAATTGGAGACTATCTATTTCCTTTTTTTACATTAAGCGCTCTATTTATTCCAATTATTTAAGAGCATTAGATATGATGAAGTATTTCTACACTTTTGCTAATATATACATCTATTTACCCTGGTGCTATTTTAATATTACAGTGTAGTCTATCCCTGCAAATCCATATAATGAGCTTAATATATGATTTATGAAAATTTCATTTCCAGATGTTTTCATCCATTAATGATCTATTTCTATTCACACACAATTTACATGTAACAAACCAGCTTTTAGAAATTTCAGAATATCATAAATAATTTATACAAGTAATGAGTAAGTTGAACATTTTACTATTATAAATTCTTAAATCATTAAAACATGAAATTTAATGTAACCATATATGGTTAAAGACAGCTCAACTGAAGTCAGTGCCGTATCAGTTGACACAACTTAGAATACTTTATGAAAAATAACATGCCATCATTCATTCATCCATTCAATTAATGTCAATTTACATTCATGTCAATACACTCTCTCATGCTTTTGTTTTTTGTTCTTCATTTTCATCTACTACTTTTGTTGATCCTGCTGAACCAGGTCTGGAATCTTCTTTTTCTTTTTCCTTTTCGTTTGTGTCAACTGTTGACTTTTCTTTCTTTTTACCTTTTTTCTGTACATTTGTATCCTCCTGGTAATGGAAAATTTAAAATAAGAAAACATTTCATCACTCAAGGACATCATTCATATTTATACAAAAATATAAGAGAAAAATTTTACAACAACCTTTCTCTACTAAAACTTTTCACCAGTTGATCACTTTGAAGTAATGAATTCAAATTACAAACAACTTTATAAAAAATCAAGCCCATTCATATTGTAAAAGGGAAAGACTATTTGGAAAAATTAATACTACAGGTGCTTGCTTTTTGTTTAAACTTAAATAAAAGTGCATCAAGTTTTTCATGGAACTATTTATAATATTAGTTTTCATCATTACGACAACACACTGTTTTGTTACTTTTCCCCTTTGATATAAGTGTATACCATGTCCAGAATAATTTTAAGCTGTTCCTACCTTGTCTGCTTACAAGTATGTAACAGACTTACACACTATCAAATCATGAAAACTTTTTGTGAAATTGGACCCTGTTTAAGATTGTTATTTAATGTTCTAATGTAACTCTTGACACACTTTCTTACCTTCATTAACCACCAATTTTTAGGAAAATGAGAAATGTTATCCATGAATTTCTGATCATCTTCCCATTGTCTAGCCCATGAATCTGCACTGTATTCTGGTTTCCTTTGGGTAATTCTACCTAATATTGACTGGTTCTCTCTCGTCAATCGTAAGAGTTCTCGTTGACGTTTTTCTCTATTTAAACTGTAAAAAAAAGCAGATGGATATGTAATTTTCATTTACATTAATAATCAGATAAAAGGTGCATATCTCATTATATCTCATAAAATATAATATTTTATAATACATGCACACTAAAATGAATAGTATCCAACTTACTAAATGACAATATTTTAATAAATGTTTTGAAAACATATAGTGATACAATTATAAGGCTTAAATGAATCTCACCTTCTATATTCATAATTATTTCTATTATCAACTCTTCCTCTAGTTCTCATTATATAGGACATTTTTTCTAGTAAAATTCTATTATCTCTTTCTATTGTGGCTAGTCTTTCCTCTTCTAACTGAAAAAAAGAAAATTACATATTTCAATCATTTTAGTAAAATATAAATTCAACATAGTTTTTATTATTTATTTAATCACTTATATGATTATATTACCTTTCTTTCTTTCCGATTTCTCTGTTGATAAATTTAGAAATTATTAAGAAACAAGGGTTCCAACTCTTCAAGTATTCAAGTATTTCTACATCATTGGCTCTCAAATTTTTAGGTTGGAGCATTCCTGATGAAGATGAATTACCAAATCTTTTCTGAAAATTTTCCAAAAACAGTTTTTCAACCATAAGTAAATAGTATTTCCATTGGCTCATTTAACAGATGATTTTGAACACTTATTTCCACAGATCAGAACAACATTTCCTTTGAAGTTTGTCTTCCGTTTGTATTAGTATTATTATTATTCATATATGAACAGAAATATAAAGTAATCATAATAAACTATATATGCTGAAGGTAGAACTGGCTGTGTCAAAAAATTCAAATCAAAAGAGTAATAAGATAGCAGAGTCTCCTAAATGGACACAAAAAAACATATACATGCACATATAATATGAGAATAAATTTTATCTTTTTTACAAATTGAAATATCATCTTTTAAACTTTCAACATACTAAAACTCTAAATCCTGTGGTCAAACATTCAAATATCCATACAAGCAGATTGAGTAGTCCCCTACATTTAATTTAATCAGTTAAATAATAGCATGATAGTTTTCTTGAAAATACTGTGTCTATATATATTTGTACCAAGACATTAAAAGGTCACGGCTGGTCATGTATTAAGCACTTTCACAAAAATCACAGGCTTATAAAATGATTTGCAAGCACATCTACCCATCCATCCATTGGTTTGCCTGTTACTCTTTTTGATGGCATGCGATACATACCCCTTCCCCGATTGATTGATTGTTGGTTGAATAATGTCCATCCCCCTTTCCAGTAATGGGTGGAGATCAATAAGTAAAATACACATTTTGTATTATATTCTTATACACATTTCAATTTATATATCATATTATTTGGTCAGAAATAAGTATGGATTAGCATGTAAAGAGAAATGAATAGTCTTAATACATATTTCATTCCAGCACATCTGAGGTGGAGTGGCAGGAATTTCTTCTGACAGTGCCAAAACTTAGCTCTTGCTTGTATTGGCTTGACTAAGTGTTTTTAATTGTATCTTTGATCATACTTTATTCTAGCATTATATTGTCTCACAACTGTATAAACCAAAAATCCTAAACAAACAAACACAAACAGTGGTTGGTACAGTTTAATCTGGTGTGGTGTAACTTACTCCTGTCATTTTGTTACCAAAATGATTTAAATTGTGTATTAATTGAAAAAAAAAACTTTTTTTGTAATTTAATGGCATTAATTATACATATATACCAACAGAAAGTTTACTTTAAACAATGTATGTCTTAATACTGTTTAAAGAGTGTTTAAAATAATGAAATGTTATATCAAAACATTTGTATCAGGTAACTAGGTAAAGAAATTCAATGTAAAGATCGACAGTGTATACCTTATACTTAGTTCCTCTACAGAATTAATGACCATTTCATTACCTTTTCAAATGAAAATTTAAAACCCCAATTTTTCAACTTTAAACACAGTGTGTATTGTACTTAAAATTTATCAATAAATATAGTGCGCAATAATCATTTCAAGTATTTACTTATTTAAGACAGTTTTGTGAGAGCAAGTCATAATATATATACCATTTTACTTTTGTATTCAAACTTAAATCTCAATCAAACTATACTCAACTGTCTAGTGAATAATTTTTGAAAGCAATTGGCAATTTAAAATTTTCAATGCATCCTTTTAATAAACCATCAACTGTTATAATAAAATGAGCACTAATGGCATAAAAATCTATATATATTCAACTAATGTATGGACATTTAAGTAACTTTTTACAGTCTGATACATATTGACTGGAATCATACAGGTTCTATGCAATATTTTTTTCTATAAACAGGTCCGGTATTTCTACAGTTTGAGCTTATATATCTTAATTGGGCTATATTTACTCCTTTGAGCTATAAAATGTTATCTCACTTTGACACTTTCAAATAAAATTTTCAATTTCTGCAATAGTAAACTTGGAGGTGCAATCTAAAGCTTTACATGTATAATAAAGAAACATATCTGAATATTTCTGTGTACAAAATTTTAACTTAATCATGGTTTTTTACGTGATGTTTTTCATAATAAAAGTAAAAATTTATTCCAAAATTATATTCAACAGTGCTTCTCCATAATCACAGTCTGCAAAGTATAAAGAATGCCAAGGAAGATATGTGTTATAGCCTGATAGAGATATATAATCCAGATCAAGGTTTATCAGCTGTAACCTAAAAAAATGTTCAACTCAGAAACCACACAAACTAAAAAGAATAAGGGGACATAACTCATAATATTTTGAATTTGTGTGAAAACTATTTTAATTTGACTAATTTAAACAAAACATATCATATACATTCGGACATAAATGTAAAAATATTGAATTACTGGTTGATTAAAGGGTACATTATCTGTCTTATATTAATTAAATATCATTTCCCATCAAGCATGATCAAATACTGATTATCAGTTTTATCAAGCAAAGAGAGCATTTTTGAAGTTGCTTTAATATCCGATATTGATATTGATCACAACATGAAGCATTGACAATGAATTTCCTATCACCATGCAGGTAAAGGTATTCTCTGGATAGATTCAACCATGTATTCAAACTTCTGTAATCACATTTAAATAACCATGCTCAGCTATTGACTTCATATAATACCCCCTATTGATGAATGATGAATTCCATCTTTTAGGAAGCAATATATATAGAGAACACTACGTAGGGAGGCTAAATCAATAGCTGAATAAATATTTTATACAGATGCAAAAAAATATATGATAAATGCAGGAAGAGAAGACTATTCATGTTAACACCAACAAATCCATAGGCAAATTTCTATCACAAAGTGGGTCTCAAAATGGGATTTTGGGTACAGGCATTAAGCTGGGATTTAAAAAAAAAAAATCCTCTATTGAAGTCTTGTGAAAATCACAATTACCCATTTATATATTTCATGACAAAATCATAACCCATTCATATATTTCTAAGTTATCAACAACGGATTACAAGTAAACTATATATGAAGAAAATTTTTGCTGATATTGGTTAGCATATATGAACTTGCAGAAACACAATGAACATAAAACCATCTGTTGTTTCTTATTTTTTCATATAGAATTCAGTCTGAAGGGAAACGGTCTATACACAAAATTTTCAAATAAAAAAAAGTTAAAATTTAAAGCCTTGGCATTTTGATTACATTACATCTAAAAAAAATCATAAATGCAATCTTCAATGCAAAATCTGCAATATCAGTAAGGACTTGTAAAGAGAACAACAAGAAAAGCTCTGGCAACAAAACAACACAACCAATACAAGTCCATGTATCATAAAACAAAAATAAAACCAGTCCAAATTCCTAAAAATTCAATGCTTCTAAATAGTACAGGCAGTACTGACAATCATCACAAGCCAGGTGGTGTAGATGAATTAATTACAGTTCTAGCTTTCACATAAAACTTTGTCTTTTATGTAATTTCCAAGTTTATGTATTTAAAAGGCCTGCCTAATTAAATGTTAATTATATATGTATATATATATATAAAGCTTGGGTTAAATGTTTGAATTTTTTTATCATACAGTTAGATCATACCTTAAATTAAACAAACTTGAGACTATAAATACTTTTAAGACATAAGAAAAAGGGTATGTAGTTTTATATGCCCACTTTAACTAGCTCTTCTTTAGAAATGCCTTACCACTTCAGTAATAACTTATTCATCAAAGACTTCAACCATTCACATGATAATAAATGTCCTGTATGAACTTATAAATCTTTATACTTACAAAGGTGGCTTATTTTATGGCCATTTTAAAAAGATAGGTCAATTTTAATTTTCTTAAATTGAAAATGTTTTAGAAGGAATTCATATATTTTTAAAACAAAATAAGTATTTGTTCATTGAAATGGAATAATTTGTATAGAATTATCGACTAATATCAATCAATATATTAGGATATTGGTGATTTTAATAACAAAAACACCAAGCGATACTTTGATAATTTACAGAATTTACTCAAGTGATGTTCCCAGATACCAAGATAAGAAAGGGAGTATATATCCACAGGCATATTTCTATAATTTCTTTTGTTTTGGTAAGACCTTATCAAAAATAATAAAATATAGATTCTCATTTACTTAAATATTACCCTTTAGCATTCTAGTTTACTGGTTTCTTTGATGGTTTGAACATTCATTTTTTTTAATATATATCTATATGACAAAAAGTTTATACAAAAACACTAAAATATATTTTGAAGACATAGAATTTGGTATAAGTAAAAAAATAAAAATAATATAATCTAAACCAATGATGTGTCCTTATTTGTAGTTTTGTGACATAGAGGACAGTGCTTAATGTTAGGTTGAAGTATATAAATTTGTGAGTAAAACACCGAACTGGATAATTATTGAAGGTAAACTTGTATCACATGGTGAAAGATGTGTGTCAAAATACTGATAACTTGTACAAAAACCCTGTACAAATTATAAAAAGAAATGGTAATTTCATATTGGGCTTGTTTTTTTAATTCATAAGAATTAATTCTACAATTCAAATATAAAAAAGAAGATGTGGTATGATTGCCAATGAGACAACTCTCCAAAAGAGACCAAATGACACATAAATTAACAACTATAGGTCACCGTACGGCCTTCAACAATGAGCAAAGCACATACCGCACAGTCAGCTATAAAAGGCCCCGAAATGACAATGTAAAACAATTCAAACGAGAAAACTAACGGCCTAATTTATGTACAGAAAATGAACGAAAAACAAATATGTAACACATAAACAAACGACAACCACTGAATTACAGGCTCTTGACTTGGGACAGGCACATACATACGGAATGTGGCGGGGTTTAACATGCTAGCAGGATCCCAACCCTCCCCCTAATCTGGGACAGTGGTGTAACAGTACAACATAAGAACGAACTATAAAAATCAGTTGAAAGATGCTTAACTCATCAGATGGATAAAAATACAAATACTACATTCAAATACAAGTGGACGTGGCCAGGTACTTGTACATCCAAACAACAAAAAGACACTAAGTACAGATCTGAGAGTACTCGCAGTTACTAACAGCTAGTTCAAAGCCACTAACAACTAATAAAAAAAATCATGCATCTAAGATTAAATTATCAATCCGTACACATCCAACATCCAATGGATTTATAGTGTAAAGACGTCATAAACAGTCAGAGAAAAACATGACCTTGTGCAATGCCAAGATACAGGTATCGACAGATTGTAGATCCATGATTGTGTATATGTATAAAACAATAATATTTAGTTTGCTTTTAAGTATATTTGTAGTATATTTTATGTAACCATTTTCTTTAAGTGACATGTTTATGGCCCAATTAACACCTTTGATGATCGTTAATCTGTTGATGATTTGATCTTGGGTTAATTAGTGTCATCACTTCTGATTACACCTGTGCAACAATTAAAATATTAACTTTGCAATTTCCTTGCAAGTCAATTTGTAAGCAAAGATGAATCAGTCTAAAAGCAGTTATTCAATCAAACAAGAGTTCACACACTGTAAAGTCTCGCCTGCTTTACTGACCATTGATTTTATTTTGAAAATCTTAAGAATAAAGGTTTAACTTTAAAAGCATCACAGAAACTCAGGTCAGATAAATGCTGTCAGACAGACATATACACCTAACAATTTTTTTATAAACAAAATATATTTGACCTTTTGCTTATGATAATTGAAAAACAGACCAAACAACAAAAAACTTAACATTAACCTATGAACCATGAAAATGAGATCAAGGTCAGATGATACCTGCCAGACAGACATATACACCTTACAATCATTCCATACATCAAATATAGTTGACCTATTGCTTATAGTACTTGAAAAACAGACCAAAACACAAATTTTAACATTGACCAATGAACCATGAAAATGAGGTCAAGGACATTGGACATATGACAGACTGAAACATCGTAACATAAGGTATCTGCATACAAGATATGAAGATCCAGGTCTTCTACCTTCTGCAATATAAAGCTTTATATAAATAGTTTACGTCGACACGGGATAGTAATACCTATGTCTCGCATACTGCGACTTTTGTCGCAGGCTAGACAAAAATTGAAGAATGTTGAGTAATGAAAGATGAATAAGTAAGTGAAAATGAAAACCTTATTTTGCAATGTCCCACAAATCATTACAAAACAACATATGGTTATTTTAAAGAATCTTTGTTTCTGATGGCTTCAAATTCTTCACTCGTTTTTTTCCAAAAAGCTAAAATCAATGAATTTAAGAACCCACGAACATGTAACTTTTGCTTAAACCACAAAAAATTGATACTGACGAATAAAACTTCTTTTTAAAAAATCATATGTCAGAAATTATCTATACCTTACATTTCATTTTTATTTCATAGATGTTTAAATATATTGATTAACTAACAGAATTGAAAACTCCAATCAAAGATGAAAAAGCTCATTATTCACAGCTTAAAACATCTTTTAAAACTGAATTTTCAGCTGATTTGCTTTCTATAGGATTATATTATATATACAGCAAGAAAATAAATTAAGTGAAATCACTATCAGTTATCAATATGGATTAAAATATTCAGCTTAAATCAATTTTAAGGCTTATATCTGTAGTTCGTACTATAGAAAAAACAACATAAATCTTTAGCATAAAATTAATAATGCAAACAAAATCCTTCAACATGATAAATAACAAGAAATGTATGTGGCGTGAATCAATTAAAAGTTTTATAATGAAAAGTCTAAACTACAAGTACATTCTTGTAATCTGTTTCCCATTATATCAATTACAGCAGAAAATTACAGCATGGTTCAGTTGGTTTCAGACATAATCATAATTTTGCAAGTTAAAAGCAACGAATTACTTGTGAATTTTCCAAAAAAAAGGGATGACTTGTGAAAACTTGAAATTGCTTGTATTAACATGCAGGGTTTGGAGTAATGTGTAGTTTATTCATTTTCGAAATTGCATTTCATATAATTTTGGCTGGTAATTTACATTTAAATTAAATAATGCATACTTCGTAATGCAAAAATTAATGTTCAACTTTTAAAGTTTTTTGGAACGTTTTCTACAGAAATAACTTCAGTTTGAGTTTCAGTTCTGGAGTCTTACAAAGTTTTGATGTATCATCTTATTAATATGAAGTAACAAAATTACCAATTTTTGTTTAGTGATCAAACTGGTACATTATTTTCTATTTCCTTTGTACATACCTGAAGCTTTTTAAGTTTCAAATGAAGATGCATATATGTTGGTGGAGCTCTTGTGTCAACCATTGGTTTTGCTGTATAAACCTAAAAACAATATGTAAATTAGAATAAGCTTGGTGAGAATATTACATTCATTTACAGTTTATAAGTAATTTACATCACCTATAGTGAAATTTACAAATAAAACTAGATATGGACAATGCCCCCCCTTTCTGCTCTGCCACATGCATGAGTATAGTTCCACATATTTTAGATTTGACAAACAGTGATGTTGGCATACAACTTGAAATTGTAACTCTTGTCTGTAAGACACAAATGATGCTCCTGCCTGACTAAAAAAATGACCAAGTCCAACTACCTGTCATTTTCAGAATATTTGAAAAAAAATCAAAATCCTGTGGCCATGCACACCTTCATTATGTGTATGAACATCCTACAAAATATTAAAGTTATACCTCCAAAACTGTAGGAGGAGACAGCCGGACAAACAATTTATCCTAATCCGGACGGACAGACAGACAGGGGTAAATTAATATGCCCCTCAACATTTTTGTTGGGGAGGCATAAAAACATGAAGTGAATTACATTTTGTGATTATTTCATGTCAATTTAAAAAAGAACAAACATGGAAGAGCATGATTTATTTTAAAGTTGTGATTGGCTTTAAACTACCGTTCAGTAACTGCAAGTACTCTTAGATTTTAGATTGTGCTTTGCATCCATTGCTTTATGTTAGTTTTTTTTTTTTAGCTTTGTAACAATCTATTGAGAGTTTAGCCATTTGTAAATGATTTTTATGGTACAGTTTGTTCTTATGTTGTGTCGTTACACCACTGTCTCAGTTTAAGGGGGAGCGCTCAAAAACATATCAAACCCAGCTATGTTCTTTAAGAGCCTGTCCAAAGCCAGGAGCCGATAATTCAGTGGTTGTTGTTGGTTCATGTCTGTCATATTCATTCTATGTAAGTTGTATGGTAAGGCCTTTAGTTTTCTTGTTTGGTATTATTTCACATTTTTCTTGTTGGGCTTTTTATGGCTGACAATACCGTATGAGTTTTTCTCACTATTAAAGGCTGTATGTACGGTGACCTAAAATTGCTAATATCCACATCATTTGAACTCTGGCAGATAGTTGTCTTATTGACAATCATACCACATCTCCTTATTTTTATATTAGCAAATGAGTTGTCATAACTGTTACAAAAATAATAAACCCACAAAAAGGGAAAAAAATAACATATAATGTTCTGGTTCAACTGAAATACTTGGTCAATTAAGGTTCATCATAACCTTTTGGCTGATATGGCCATATTTACACCACAAATTTTACTCTGAGTACAGACAAACCTGTGCACCTTGAAAAGTTTTAAGGCATGGCAGGAACTAGATAATTAAATTTTAAATGCATTTTATGTTTCAGAAAATTATAAACTTTTCTGGATTTTGCTATTCATTTTGTTTTTCATGAACCTGCAGAAGATACCAAAATAAACTAAGTTGGGAAAGAGGTTTGAGAAGATCCCTTCAAATAATAAATGTTGTGAGTAGTGATTTAAATTGACAATAGACATCTGCAAACAATAGGTGATTCAAACTATGAAACTGAGTGGACGTATCAAATGAAACTCATGTGTGTTTATTTTGATATCTTCTGCAGACTGGAAAAAATGCATATCAAAATCCTGGTAATTTTTAATTTTCTGAAAGATAGACTTTATTGTTGGTGATGGTAGTGCATCGCAGGGTAATGATATGCGTCTAGTGTATGGGACTGTCCTATGGATGTCTTATGGATGTCTTATGCCGCTGGCTAGCAATATTTTTTGCGAAAAGAAAGCCGAGTGAGTAAGTCTTTCCTGCCAGTACATAGCCTCTGCATTATCAAGACTTCAGCAGTAGCCTCCCCGCGGTAGCACACGGAAACTGATTGCATAGATCAGGCGAATCTGTTGGGGATCTCGGAGCAGCAAGGGCCCCAGAAATGCAGTGTGTAGGCCCATTGGTATGTGGACATGCCCTAGCACTCATTAACCTTGCCCCAACTATGGGTGAAATAGTCGGCCAGGAGAGGGTCGCAGCCAGGTTACAGCAATTTTCCTAAGAGAAGAAAACTCTAAAATCAAAATCAACGGGTAGATCACACTCGTAAGCCTTGGAAGGCATCTATCTATTGGAAGGAAAACCATAAACAAATAACCCTGGTCCACCAGGTTGGAGGTTGAGCTAGGGGGTAATCTCCCCTACTCATAAAACAGCATCTGATTACGGAAACAAGGATTAGAAAAAATTTACCTCGTCTCGTAACATCAGAATACCAGCAGAATTCTGCGCATATGAATGGGACTAGTGAAAGCCAACAGGAAGCTAGTCACACGAAAAGTATCCTGAATGCGAGAACCAAACTTAAACTGGGCTTTTGGAATGTCCGTACCATGTACGAGACGGGAAAACAAGCTCAAGTGTTAAGAGAAATGAAGGAAAACAAGCTGCACATACTAGGTATAAGTGAATGCAGATGGACAGGGTTTGGAAAAAACTTGACAAATACAGGAGATACAATCATATACTCTGGTAGAAAAGATGACAAACACCAGGGAGGAGTTGCCATCATCCTCAACAAATCAGCATCTAAATCACTCATTGAGTACAATCCAGTCAATGAAAGAATAATAACAGCAAGACTAAATACAAAACCTATAAAGACATCAATCATCCAAGTCTATTCCCCAACAAATGAAGCTGATAAAGAAATAAAGATGGAATTCTACGAAATGCTCCAAGCTGAGATAGAGAAAATCCCCAAAAAAGACCTAACAATCATCATGGGAGATTTTAATGCTAAAGTGGGACAGGATAACAGTGGTTTTGAGAGAATAATGGGGAAACATGGCTGTGGAATCATGAACGAAAACGGAGAACATCTAGTAGACTTCTGTGGACTGAACAATCTTGTAATAGGTGGAACATTGTTCCGACACAAGGAGGTCCATAAGCTGACTTGGGTATCACCTGGAGGCAGAGATAAAAATCAGGTAGACCACATAGCAATTAACGGTAAATGGAGGAGATCCTTACAAGATGTGAGAGTAAGGCGAGGCGCTGATGTAGGAAGTGACCATCATCTTGTCACAGCAAACATCAAACTCAAACTTATGAGAGCATCAGAACCTTGCAGGGTACAGAGATTTGACACAGGAAAACTCAGACACATGAAAACCAACCATGACTTCAAATTAGAACTGAAGAACCGCTTTCAACTATTAGAACAACGTAAAAGTAACAACATGGAAGAAAGTGAAACAGTAGATGAGCAATGGCTAGAAGTTGAAGATCTGTTTAAAAAGACCAGCGAAAAAATCTTGGGTTTCAAACGCCAAAAACACAAGGAATGGATCAAACCAGAGACATGGAATCTGATTGACAACAGAAAAGAGCTAAAGAAAAAGATATGTAACACTCACTCTGATAGACTAAAAGATAGACTAATGGGTCAATACTCCAACTGCAATAAGGAAGTTAAGAAAGCCACTAGAAAAGATAAAAAAGAGTTCATCGAAGGAATGGCTCTAGAGGCTGAAAAAGCTGCTTCAGAGCAAAGAATGGGCGACCTTTATCAAATTACAAAGAAACTTTGTGGCCACAAAAGAAACACCAACATGCCAGTAAAAGACAAACAGGGTAATCTAATAACATCTGAAAGAGAACAAGAGAGTAGATGGAATGAACATTTCAAAGAAGTACTAAATAGGCCAGAACCAGAAACAACAGCAAACATACCCATCGCAGAACACGACCTTGAAGTAAACATAGAAATTCCATCAAAATCAGAGATTATCAGAGCAGTAAAGAGCCTTAAAAACAATAAAGCCCCCGGAAATGATAAGCTATCAGCAGAACTATTCAAGTCAGATCCAGCCTTAACAGCAAACATTCTGCACACACCATTCAAAAATATTTGGCAAAATATCAAAATACCTAAAAACTGGTCAGAAGGTAACATCATAAGACTGGCTAAGAAAGGCGATCTCACAAACTGTAATAACTGGAGAGGAATCACCTTATTACCAATCCCAAGTAAAATTTTCAGCAAAATATTAATAGATAGAATTAAAACAGCATTTGACAACAAACTCAGAAAAGAACAGGCAGGCTTTAGAAAAGGAAAGAGTTGTTGTGACCACATATTTGTGCTACGAAACATTATAGAACAGTGCACAGAATGGCAGAGGCAACTGATAATAAACTTTATAGACTTTGAAAAAGCCTTTGACAGCATACACAGAGAAAGCTTATGGAAGATCTTACGAAGCTATGGAATACCCGCTAAAATGGTACAACTTATCAAAATGTTTTATACAGAATTCAGATGCACTGTAGGAACTTCATCAGACATTCAGTTTTCTAGTAAAATCGGGAGTTAGACAAGGCTGTGTTATGTCTTCCCTTCTATTCATAATAGTTGTCGATTGGGTAATGAAATCCACCATAAGCATTAACAACACAGGCATCAGGTGGGCTCTCTTTAACTACCTAGAAGATCTGGACTATGCAGATGATCTGGCCTTACTGTCACATCTAGAAACACACATGCAAGACAAAACCACTAAGTTACAAAAGAATGCAAGTATGATTGGATTGAATATCAACATCAAGAAATCAGAAGTCATGCCTCTTAACATCTCAGAGCCTCCTGTAATAGATTTAAACGGGACACACCTGGATTGCACTTCATCTTTCACCTACTTGGGCAGCATAGTAACATCTGAAGGAGGAGCAGACAAAGACATCAGAGCCAGAATAGGAAAAGCAAGAACTGAATTTTTAAAACTAAGTCACATCTGGAAGTCAAGCAACATCAGTAAGAACACCAAAATAAGACTATATAACAGTTGTGTACTAGCAGTGCTGCTATATGGGGCTGAATGCTGGAGAATGACAGAAAAAGACATCAACAAGCTCTCCAGTTTTCACAACGGTTGCCTTAGAAAGATCTTAAGGATATTCTGGCCACGTAAGATCACCAACAAAGACCTCCATGAAACAACAGGATCCAACAGCATGGAGACCTTATTGACGCAAAAAAGATGGAGATGGATTGGCCATGTTCTTAGAAGACCAGCAGAGGACTTGACCAGAGTTGCCCTAAGATGGACACCTGAGGGGAAAAGAAAGAAAGGACGCCCCAAAACAACTTGGAGAAGAACAGTTGAAGCTGAAATGAAAGAACATGGAATCAGCTGGGGCGAAATAGAAAAGAAAGCACAGAACAGAGATGAGTGGAAAGATCTAGTCCTTGCCCTATGTGCCTCCGGGCATAATAAGGACTAGGTAGGTAGGTATATATCTAGGTCCTGCCATGCCTTAAAACTTTCCTAGATGCATCAGTTTGTATGTACTCATAGTAGATTTTATGGTGTAAACATGGCCATATTTTTCAATTCCTTTTGATGAACCTTTATAATAAAATACATAATCTCTTATTTGTACAGAATTCCAGAATGCAGAGAGATACTGAAAATAATTTTGTACAAATGCAGTCAATAATAGATTGTCAGCAACCAGTATATTTTATTTTTTGCAGCAAGTTAATGTTAACTTAAACACTTCAGGAACAAAAACAAAAGTTTAGAACCGTGTTGTAAATATCAATATTATCATACATGTATATGTAATGAAAATTAAAAAAAGTGTAATTCTGATTAAATGATATTTAAAAAGTAAATTATCCAACATGGTTGACATTGCAAGTATGATCTTGTTCCAATAAATTTGATAAATTGGATATAATCATGATGTCAACATTTAGGTTCATTCTCCCCCAGTGAGATTGACATAAACAAAGCTCTATTTGTTAAATTAATTAAAAGTATTCAAATTATTTGGATGATTACACCTCTGAAAACAAACTGTTACTATTAAAGTTAATAAACTGTTTATAAATAAAGAATGGCAGCATTGTTTACTTTTTTGAGCAAGTGGAGTGATTTGAACAAAAGAACTTTTAAAATTTTTAATTGCAATTTTTTTCTAAAAAGTAAGTAAAAACTAGACAAAGTGATGCCACCTCACTCCACTCTGAAGTAACTGTATAACAAAGTCAATGTAGGACTTTCTTTAAGATATAATTGTGTCTGGGAGACACAAATGATGCCCCTGCAGATGCAAAGTGTTATTTTAAAACAAACAAAGTTGAGCATGTGAGCACATAGGTCTATGGTTCACTGTAGGAGGAGTTATCCGGAAACTCTATGAACCTCGTATGCAAGTATATACTCCAAAAATGACAAAGTTCAACTATCTCCCAAAAGAGCAAATATCTATAAAAATCAAAACCCTGACCACATGCACACCTTCAATATATGTACAAACAGCCAGCAAAGTGAAAACTTGTTAGTATTCAAACTGTAGGAGGAGTTATCTGGAACAGCTATATACCCATAATGGGAAGGACAGAAGGGGGTAAAACAATATGCCCCCAACTTTTAGTATTCATTCTCAGCAAAATTGATTTTGGGTTAGACTTATGTCAATTCAGCTGAAATATTCCGGAAATTAATCTATTTCTGCAAAAAAAAAAATGGACAATCTTCCTTACATGCATGTCTTCACAGTTAATTTGTATCTTCAAGATTCTGTTAATATTTATATTTTCTGAAAGCCTTTCTTCTGAAGTTTATCATATGATCAGTAAATTGACAGTAATGGAATAACACTGAATTTTTTGTTTGGTAAATTTACAGGGCAAAATAGGTCCTAAAATGTACCTTTTTCTTTAAGTAAAATTGCAGAATGATTTTATGAATTAATATAACTCATGCATGTAAAGGTGTATTGTTGGCTTGTAAAACTGTAAAACGTACAAATTAAACCTGTCTGGCAATTAAAATTATGGTGTAAAAATACTCAACTATTTATAGTAGAAGAATTTTATATTTTCAAATGTTTGATGAGCAGATTTTTTGTCAAATATTTCATTAAGCAACATTTTAACCATGTTTCATGGAAGTAGGCCTAGGGTCAGCTTTGATTTCTTTAACTTTTGTGATAGACCAGGATTTTTAAAATAAATTACAAAAATGTATATGAATAAAAGAATATACAGCAAACATGTTTAACCCTGCCACATTCTGTATGTGCCTGTCCCAAGTCAGGAGCCTGTTATTTCAGTGGTTTTCGTTTGTTGCTGTAAATCAGATTTGTTTTTCATTTATTGTTTTGTACATAAATCAGGCTGTTAGTTTTTTCCTTTGTATTATGTTTAACATTTGTCATTTTGGGGCCAGTGTTATAGCTTACTATGCGGTATGATTTTAACTCATTGTTCAAGGTTGTACAGTGACCTACATGTATAGTTGTTGATGTCTATATCAATTGGTCTCTGGTGGAGAGTTCTCTCATTGGCAATCATACCACATCTTTTTATTTTTATATGTATGGTGCATTTGTTTGCACCTGTCCTAAGTCAGGAATCTGATGTTCAGTAGTTGTCGTTTGTTGATGTGGTTCATAAGTGTTTCTCGTTTTTTATATAGATTAGACCGTTGGTTTTCCCGTTTGAATGGTTTTACACTAGTAATTTTTGGGGCCCTTTATAGCTTACTGTTTGGTGTGAGCCAAGGCTCTGTGTTGAAGACCGTACTGTGACCTATAATAGTTTACTTTTATAAATTTGACTTGGATGGAGAGTTGTCTCATTGGCACTCATACCACATCTTCTTAATTATATCTATGTATAGATACAAAGACATCAATGAGAATGCAACAAAGGAACATAATTTTAAAAGGTATCTAAAAAGGTCAATATTCAGTCAACAATAAAGACAAGTTTCTTATCAGCAGTAAATTCATAGAAATGTGGCTGTACAATGTATATAACAACTTTACAACTTTTTGACTAAATTGTCTTGATATATAAATTATGCGGAATCCCCTCGGTGTATATTCTCCCATTATTCAGTACATATCACAAAATTTGGTTCATGTCGGTAAAAAGGACAAAGCAGTACGTAGTGTACTCAGTGTAATTAGACTAGTTTTTTACTTCCAGATGGCGTAACCTATAAGAACTGTTCATATAGCTTGAAAGTTTACCTTTTGTCTGTGTTCATTGTAGTAGGTATCATCCCATTTCTTTTGAAGAAGCCTATTATGAGTAGGTAAAATTGAGTTATAACTCCGATGCATCTTGCTTCTGTTTACAATCCACACTACTGTTTCACAGTGACACTATTTCCCTGTCACTATTGTTCAATGTGCTAACCACGTGATCAAGCTAAAATCTCCATAACAACAATGAAAATGGAGAAGTTTCGTATTTATTCGCATTTTGTCGATTAATATCTACTAATTATATGAAAAAAATAATTGGGATTTGCATAACATTTAATTTTAATTCAAATCTTTATAAGAATAACAATTAACTGGATTTGGTTTTAAGGACATGTGTCACTGTCGTCAAGATGCTTAAAATAAGGGAAGTAACTTTATTTCCAAAAATGGACCCGAATAGAAACAAGAAGATTTACCTCCCATGTAATGGCATGATATTAAAGGGGAAAAGCATCGATGCAGACTAAGTACCTTTTATCACAATTTCAACCAATTTTTTTTTGTATTGCAGAAGGTTATTGTAAAAATTATTATGTCAATTTCTAAATTAGAAGTTAAAATTTTAAGATTTCATTCGTATTTTCAGAGACATATATGTGTAAATGTCTCTGGTATTTTACAACACATTTTACGACGACTAATATCATTATAAAAAAGGAATTGTATATTTTTAAGTATACAATTCCTTGATTATAATCATCATCATCAATACTATTCTTATTATCATTATTATTAGTAATAGATATCAATAACAAATGAAATACGATGTGAGGTATACGTCAATGAGACAGCTTGAAACCCAACGACACAACAAGATATCTATATCAAAATACCGTCTTTAATAATACAGGTGCCTATACTACATGTCAAGCTCTAAATCACCCCAAAGGCGGATCCAGGGGGGAGGGGGGGCATTTAATCAATGCATAGGATTTGTTTGTGAAAAGAGTTCCGGACGATGAAAAAAAAAATCATTTGTTTAACTGGATATTTATCACATGTATCATCGTTTGAATCATTCAGTCATACAGAGAACTCATATGATTAGTTTGCCTTGGATATTCCAGTACTACACAATTCAATTGCTATATGTATATCTAATTATTCAAAAGACTTTTCTGTTTGTATAATGCTTTTTTCTAAAGAGGAAACTGTTACGCATGTGTGTGATCCTTTTTGTGTCTTTGACCAAAGATAGTTAGTCATAAACTAAATTTCAGTACTCGTCGATATATCATTCTTGTATCTGACGAATGTGGGTCTTTTACTTACAAACCTTTTTTGTCTTGTAACGTATTTTATTGTTGAAGAATGAATGTTGCCCGTTTTTTTTTTTTTTTTTTTTTTTTTTTTTTTTTGTCGTTTGTTTGTGTCTCATCAAGGATTTTTATACAAATCCTTGGTCTCATTGACATACAACCGGGTCCCCTTTTCTTCATATTTAAAAACATTCGAGATGACATCAATACCAATTCATGACACAAAATAACTGAGTTAAACTAACAGCAGAAGAAAGAAAAGGAAAAGCGCTTTCATGGTTGTACTTAATCTCGAAGTTACAATGTGGTCTTTGAAAAAATAAAAAAAAAAAAAAAAATAATAATATTTTTTGAATGTTTATAAAAAAGTAACTTTGTGTAAATTATAACAATTATTTCAATTTCAATCCATATTAAGCTGTTGCTATTTTCCACATTTTAAAAATTAATTTCCTGCATGATACATATATTATATTTATATTATGCACATTTTCATTGCGATCTTAAAAAGGACGTTGATATAAACTGCCGTCAATTATTGTGTTATGTAAGTTGGGCCGTTTTAAAAAAGAAATGAATTGATTCTAAGAAAAAATTAGAAAGGAAACAAATACTTTGTTTTTGAAAAAAGAGGAAAAAATCTAATTGATTTACATTCAAAATTAGGGACGGAAAAAAAAATACGACACATAAATTAAAAAAGTAATGTTCATGTAAGCATGAGAAAAAAAAAACAATCGCATCCTTACAAAAAAACAACACACACACACACACACACACTCAGAAAAGAAGAATAGTCGGTGTATAATCATTCTGCTACCAAGGGTTTTTCACAAGTATAGTAGTTAGAAGAAAAGTTCCAGTTTCCAAAAATGCACCAAACTATACATTTTACCTACTACTATTTCGTGAATTCAATGCAAATTTCATAAGGCTTGGTCCAAATAGCTTTTTACTGTCCAATATCTTGCAAGTACGAAAAAGACCGTACGAAAGTATATTTTGACTATGTTTTGTAATTGCACAACTATTGAAAGTTGATCATGCATTCGTTCTAAAATAAAATTTTACACAAGATAAAAGTTTAAAGATACTAAGTGAAAAATTTAGACAACCGCAATGGGTTAATCGCTTTGACGTCCGAAAAAGATAATAGCCAACACATACATTGTAACTTTTAAAGCTAGTTAAATTAATTTTTGTGTTAACAGATCGTGCGATATTATAAAAATTGTGTATCAAAACATAACAAAAACGCAAGTAAAGAACGTTGAAGTATTCAATATTAATCGAAACACAAAGGTTATTCCTGTTCTAGTTTTGCGAATTATTTGATTTAGGCGTTGAAAACCTTTGGTGACCCCACAGTTTAAATGTCTATAACAAATACGACGTGATAAGTGGGCGTTACAGACGAACGTTCACCTAATTTAACCCGTCAATGCGGGACTTGAGCGCGCCAAAATATGGTCTCGTCCACACTGTTATGAAAACGATACTAACAGTACGAAATATGTTAATGTGATATGATATGAACCTTCATTGTACAAGACCTATACGCTGATCCGGTTTTGAACGTGCTCGTACTCGTTTAAAAGATGACAGTCCGCATGAAGACATCTTACCCTACCCTGACACATTATCCTGACTCCAAGCCAACCGATCTTTGCCTCTTATTCATAATTGCTGCGTTCTTTGCGGAGAAGAAGCAAATACCAATGTTCACCGGGGATTGAACCCATGAACTCTCGCATTCGAGACGAGAATTTACAGAGTACAAAACGGCACAAGAAAGTAAAAGAAACTCAAATGCTATGCAGATGAATTATCAGTGATAGAGAGTTGTAAAATGCAACATAATCTCACAAAATTACTAATTACTAATTACCTGTTAGCTGATCAGTATGATATTTAACACAGGCCTCCTGAGTTTTACCATTTATTATCCCAAACTTTCACCTTTTTACGTGGTGATTTTTGTTATACATCTTTATTTTCACTACCAAATTACAAAGGTATAGAGTTATTTTACCTAATTGTCGATCTCCTTAATTATTTTATACAGCTCATTTAGTTTTGAACATGTTTTGGAATTACTTCATAGTGTTAGGTCTTTTCCTATAATGACTTTTGATACATTGTGTTCTACAGTCGTCAAAAGCTGAACAATTAAAAAAAGTAATGGTTTTCATCACCAATATCATCTAAATTGCACAATACATACTTTCTGTTTTCTCTTTCTAGATTTTGCCGTCTGCCAGTTTCAATTGGTAATTTCATGTTGAGGGTTCGAAATTTAAAAAATAATGATATCTTTTTTGTTATTCAAAATAATGAAATATTTTTTAAACTCTAAATTATCCTTAGATATTAAGTTCTGTTTTACATTTACGTAAGCACTTGACATTATAACGTTCGTCATGTTTACGCTTATATTTTTCACTAGTAAAACTGGAGACACCTTGGTCCTGCTTCTCGTTGTTTAAAACTTCCCAGTAAAACGATCCGAACGGAGAACAACATTCAATTAATAACACAAAAAAAAACCAACAAACAATGGCAGCAGAATTCTTTTCTTCGTTACAAGGAACTGATGTAGCCCGAGTAGTTTGTTGTAATAAGTGAGCTAAAAAGTTATAAATTTAAAATATCATCACAAGACGCTTACAATTTTTAACTTTCATATGTCTTTTATACGAGTAATTATGTTGTTTCCTTTTTGCGTTTTGTAAGTCGCTAGATGTATGTACACATACTCTGCACTGAATAGTTGGCATACGATGTAAGCAAAAGAATGAAAAACTAAAATAATCAAATTGCATTTCAAGTCACTTATCCTTTTTCGATTGTGTTTATTTGTTTTTTTTTACTTATTTCTTTCATAATGATGATGATGATGATTATAAGTCGTCATAAAAGGTGGTATGAAATACCAGAGCATCCGTAGGATTTTACCTTCAATTCAAACTTTATTGTCATATAAATCAACTTATATGATTCGTGAGTAAACAAACAAAACATAGTATAATATAAATGATCTTAAGTTATTCAATAATGATATTAGTAAAGTTAACATCCCAAGTGTGCCAAGTATCTCTAGTACTAAAACACATGAACAACACATAAATGAGGCATACATGAATAATGAACAACAGGTAACTGACATCCTAAACTCACATGCACCCATTAAGACAAGAACACACAGAAAGAAACCACTGCCATGCATGAACAGCGAATTAAGAAAAACTATTTATCGCAAACATACTAGTATGCTCTATACAAATTATACAAAACAACGAAACAGTAAGACCTGGGGAAAATACCGTAAACAAAGAAATTTGGTAAACAAACTTCAGAAAGACTCAATGAAAACTTATTTCTTAGAGAGATGTGCAGGCGGATCAAAATCATGTGATTTTTGGAAATTTATAAAACCCTTCTTATCTAAGAAATGTAAAAATGGAGACCAAACCATAGTACTTGTAGAAGGTAACAACATACTAAATGACACAAAACAGGTAGCAGATACTTATAACACCTTTTACTCTACAGTAGCAGACTCTATTGGAAATGACACCACATATAAAAAACAAAATCATCCAAGTATTCAAGAAATTGAAAAGAACCGAGACCAAGAAGTAAATTTTGAATTTGACAAAATTGACAAGATCATGAACAAAATAAACATTAAAAAGGCTACAGGAGCTGATGGAATTCCAGCAAAGGTTGTGAAGCTAAGTAATTCTGTCATGGGGCCTCAAATTACAACACTTATAAATACAACATGAGTATGGGTATTCCCTGACAGACTTAAAGAAGCACAGGTCACTCCAGTATTCAAGAAAAATGATACGCTTCAAAAATCCAATTATAGACCTGTAAGTGTATTATCTATAATATCTAAAATATA